AAATGAGCCAAGTATTTCGAAACTGTTAAATTTGAAAAATCTGTGTACGTGATTTGCATGAAATTTGTTACCTATGTGTTCTACGTGATTTAATTTAATTAATGTGTTACAATTTATTTGTGTACATGTTAGTAATTTTATCTTACGAACATAGGTACGTAGAATTTGGTTATTTGTTTTTAATTGCTAAAATGGATATTAAAGTTAGGGGGAATGCATCATGATAGTGGAGAGATTATGTGACTTAGGGGGAATGTACTGATAAGCTATGCTAAAAGTTAATAACAGTGCATGCAAATTGATTTGTCAGTCTGAATGGTCATCAGCTTTAATTTTAATTTTCACCTGCTTAAGTCAATCTGATGAAATTTCTTAGAAATGTATCTAGCATCAATTTTGATCTTATCTGTTTAAATTAATTTTATTGGTCGATCAATTTTATTTCTCAGTTTTATCAGATGTTGAAATTAAATTGTTAGCATGAATAGATTTATTGCACTAACAATTTTGTGTCGAAGAAATTTTTGCTCCATGAACATCTACAGGTGGCAGCCAATTAAAGCTTAATTTTTGGCGCTATGTACCCACAAATGGAGTATTAAAATCTGAGTTGGCAAATTTAAATCAGTGAAAGTTCGAAGTTGCCCTCAATTGTTCTACAATCTCTATCTATCCACTAAAGGGCAAGATGGTAATTTTGCTAGGCATTTATTTTGCCTCCAAGAGAAAAAGAAGAAAGAAGATCATCTCCTTCTTCCTCCCTCCCTCAAGCCGGCGCACGCACGCAAGAAGAAGAAAAAGCTTAAAAATCTCTCAAATCCAGTTGTAACGGGCAGAGTAACAAGGGGAGCTTGTGAAAACCCGGTGAGAGCGTTGCTTTGTGCGTAGTTCTCGTGGTATAGGAGTACAGCTTGGTGCGAAGTACTCGGGAAGGCGGAGTAACAAGATGAGCTTGCGAAAAACCTTGGTGGAGTGTAGCTTTGTGCGAAGCACTCGGATAAGTGTCGCTGGGCACTTATTCACTATTGTATCTGGGTGATCGAAGAATAGAGAATTTCCTCCTTGAAGTGAAAGGAGAAGAGTGGACTAGGAGGATTACACCACCTCTGAACCACTATAAATCTCTCTCTCTATTTACTTACTGCTCATATATATTTCGTGCATGCTTATATTATTTGTGAACTAACCCGTTACGGTTTATTGCGTATCTTTATCTGTCTGGGTTTGATAGTTCCCTCGTTTGCATGCAAGTGAAATTTTATATACATCATCCTACATCTATATTAAGTGTTTCTAACGTGATGCATGTATGAAATCTCTCTTGAGCACGACACAATTTAAAGCATAACACTTTGCCGTTACAATTCCGCTATGCACACTCTAAGTTGTTATACTTGTTTATGCTTGTTACTTAGAGTTGAAGTTATCAAAGTGTTGTTCGCTAAAGAAGTTTGAAAAGTTAGAGAAGTCTATTCACCCCCCCTCTAGACTTCTCGCCACCCTTTCGGGACCAACAATGTCGAACAACCGCCAGGTTTTGAGGAAAAAGGCGAAACTGATAAAGTCTACAAACTTAAAAAGGCATTGTATAGGTTGAAACAAGCACCTAGAGCTTGGTATGATACTTTGTCAATGTTCTTGATAAGCTGTGGAATTCACCAAAGACCTTGTTGACAAAACTCTATTTAGAATTCAAGATGCTGATCATATTTTATTAGTGCAAATCAATGTTGATGATATTATTTTTGGAAGCACTAACAATTCTTTGTGTGAGAAATTTTCGAAGCTTATGCAAAATAAATTTGAAATGAGCATGATGGGTGAATTGAATTACTTCTTGAGCTTACAAGTCAAACAACTGAAAGAAGGAATATTCATCAATCAAGAAAAATACACCCGCGACTTGATAAAGAAGTTTGGCCTTTTGTGGATGAAGCAACAATTGAAGGATTATGGAGTTAATTGTGATGACGTAGTATTTATTGTGATAATACTAGTGCAATCGCTATCACTCACAATCCAGTGCTTCACTCAAGAACCAAACATATCGACATTCGACATCACTTCATAAGGGATCACGTTGAAAAGAAAAATCTAAAGATCGAATATATCCCTACAGAAAACCAAGTTGCTGATATTCTCACGAAGCCTTTATGCGAAACGAGATTTTCTACCTTAAGGCACGAGTTGGGAATGATCGAAATGAGCTAAGTATGACTGGACTTAATCTCTCAATTTAATTTGATACTTGTGCTCAAAATAAATTGTTTTATGTGACTATATGCATATGTTTATTCGAAATTTTTATGTAATAAAATTGCAATATGTGTTAGGAATTTATTTGTGTATTTGCATGTGTTATTTAACGTGAAATCATATGCCATGCAAATTAATTTGATAAAATGTGCAATTCGTGATTATTCGTTTAAAATTGCATGTTTCAATGTGTTAATTAGTCTGTGAATTTTTTTGTTCATGTTTGTATAATTTAAATAATTTGTTTACATGAACAAATTGCCTAAAAAATCTAATTTAATGTGTTTATTGCATTATATATGTGTCTCGTGCATATGTGGTTTATGTGTTATAATTTGATATAAAATGTTTTAGAAATCTGAGCTGAAAGTTAAATTTTTGTTAGTTTCTAAAATGTTTAGAATCTGATTTGTGTGCAAATTATGTGAAGAGGTTTCTAAATATGAATTTGGAATATGTGTGATAATTTTGTTAATTCCCAAAATGTGTTTAAATTGATTGGAAATTACCGTGTATATGTTTATATATGTTGTTATGTGTGATTGAATATTTATGGATTATTTTTGCTACTAACGAGATGTTTGAGTGTGATTATATTTGTGGTACACGTTTTTGAGAAGCAAATCAGGAGTTAAAGGAGGAAAATCAGAGTTTAATTGGGTATCAAACCTCCACCCATCTTAAACCTCCCCCCATAATCCTCTCCTAGATCAAATCTTTCCAAACTGATTCACTCTCTCTCAAATCGGCACCCCCATACCTCCTCTCAGCTAAATAATATCAATCGTCTCCCACATAACAATTAAAACCTAACCCCTCATTAAACTCTCCCCTCTAAATCGTTGCCCATTAAATCTCATCCCATCCACCGCCATCTCGACCAATGAGAAGCCTTGCCACTATCCGTCACATCCCGTAAATCTCAAACGACGACCAGAAAAATTAACTCCCCATCGGCAAGTCCGATAGTCTTCCCTGACCGCCCTATATATTGGGAGACATGCCCGAATAACACATATTATCCCCCAATCACGTGAACCTTACACGAAAGCCACAGCTCCATAATCACGTCACGGCCACCACGAGGACCGCTGCAATACCTTGGTGACTAGTGTCCCATACCACTAATCGTGCAATCCAGGTAAAGCCACACACGCACCACCACTCACACGAGTCAATGAACGGATCACAACGAAGGTATGAAACAAACTCAATCAAGGGATGGGTCACAGCCCAGCGACAACAACGATGAATAACACAAGTTATCATCAACCAAACGGAAGGTACAAACCACACACACACGCTAGCATTAAGACAATAAACTAGCATGCTTAACAATGGAGAAACTCAAGATAGTTCCCAGAAACACACAAGACACCTCTTGGTCCAACGAAACACAATGTTGAACACTTAGCACGATTCAAGACACCAAAGTCCTACATGGATACCTACCATATAGTTCTAGACATACGAAACATCAAGAAGACGCTCAAATAGTTCCACAAAAGAACATCGGGAAGTCAAAAGACCAAATACCGAGTCAAACGGATCACGGGGAACAAATCCCATCTGAACACCATGGTGTTCCCCGCAGGTGGACCCACGGGTAGTGCCCCACCCGTGGTTCCGCACGCGGGAACATATTCCCACAGGGTTGTGTAACCGCGGGTAGGCCTGCGGGTGGTGCCCCGCCCGCCGTTCTGCCCGCGGGAACACTCCAGTTCCACAACAAATCCCTTCGGGGATTTTCTTCTCCAAACACAAATTTAAGTCCAAAACATGCCAAATCTCACCCAATACAACAAAATGACTTGAACCATGAAAAATGCCAAGCAATGGCACAAAGGAACCCTAAACACAAGCTCTAGATATGCAATATCACAAGACAAATGCATAAACCCTCACATTTCATAGCAAAACACAAGTAAAATCCAAGAAATCACATATAGGTAAGCAAAATAGGTTTTGTAGAGCATGGGTTACCTCTTGTAGACCAAAAGACTTCACTTTACACCACAACAAGCTCCCCACAGGGCTTACTTTCCAAACCCACTTCAAGATCAAACCAAAAGATCATAAAGATCCTACCTTTAAGAAAAAGACAACTAAGATGGAACCAAAAAGACAAGATAAACTTAGATCTTACCCTCCTAGATGCCCAAATAGGTGAAAGGTTGAATCTTGGAAGCAAAACTTGAAATCTTGACAAGGGTTTAAGAATTGTAAGGAATGAAATGAAGAAGTCTTCTAGGTTAGGTTACAATACTTAATCTTGGTGAAAGGACAAGAATACCCTTACTAACCTCTAGAAAGTGTAAGGAACAAGGGAACACCCCTCAAAGCTCAAGGTACAACACAACTTTAAGGTTGACTAGTCAAATACTAGTCCTTGAGTATTAAAAATCAGGATTTTAGGAATTAGTTCTTCAAATGAAATAGGATTAATTACTCAATTAATCCATGGATTGAATGTGGATTTTTGGGGTGTCACAGAAAACTTGGGAGAAGGTTCTCAAACAACCCCGAAGGGCAACGCGAACAGACGTACGTAGAAGAGAAGGAGAGACCCCGAGCAACCCTCTGGTTTTAATATCAGAAGAAAAAGGGCATGAACCAGAGTCGCCACAAGTTCAAGCAGTACCAGAATCACCACCACGTGAACCTGACTTTATATATAAGAAGATGATGGTGACAAGAGACCGTCAACAGAACAAGACAAGGTGGAAGGGTCTGAGCCTCCATTTATGAAATTCTCACCAGTTGTTCAACCTGATCTGTATGCTGAAATTCTGAATATGGGAAATTCAGAATATCTCCATTATTTGAAACAACTGACGTTTGGACCGATTCTACCCCCTCCTGGTTTCGAAGGGCTCTACCAACCTTCACCACCACCAGAGCCTCTTCCGAAGTTTCCACCAAGTCTACCAGCTCTTGCACCACTGCCACAAGAGGTTCCTGCTCCTCCACAGCCTCCTCTACAAATGCCAATCAACCCGTTCATCCGTCCTGCTGTGGACTTTACTAGGTTTTTCAATCAAACCTACTCATCTTCAAGCTCAAACGGGTCAATGCTCGAGGAAAGTGAGTCCAGTGACAACTCTGGACCTGGATACACTCCTTCACCACCAGGAGGTTATGACTCAGATGATTGCATGAGCACTGGCTTCTCTGCTTGCTGATTATGATCCAAGAATGTTATCTCTCTCTCTCTCCCAAAGAAGGAGATAAATAAAAATTATGGATGTTTTTGCTTCTGGTTTCTTCTCTATCTATCTCTCCTAAAAATGAAAAATCCCTTTGTCCTATAAAAAGAACAAAAAGTTTCGTAGCCAAAAAGATACACAAAAAAAATTAATTAATACATGAATAAAAACAAAAAAAAAAGGAATAAAAGAAATAAAAAAAATATATTATGGATACAAGAAGGGATAAAAGATGAAAAGATTAAGAGGAGAAGTGTCAGTACGAGAAGAATTAAGAGGAGAAGTGTCAGAAGAAATAAGAAGAGATATACTAGTTGAAGTCGCAATAGAAGTTGCTACTGAGAGTAGACAACAAATTACAGAGGATTTATCCAGTGTATTGCCAATACAGAATACCGAGTCTACCATGCCTATCATGGACCCTGTTCTAGAAGATGAAAATTTATTTGCAGACAACTACACGAGAACAGAAGTCTTAGAAGAAGAGATTGGTGATCTCAATCAAGAAGTCGAATCACCTGAAGAAGAAGAAGGGATGCAACTCGTTGATACACCCGTTCTCACAGATCCGAGAAGGAGTCCATTCGGATCTCCTCAAAATATTGTGCAGACAAGTGATCAAGAAGATGGCATTTTTACATCCTTATTTGCCAAAGTTGCCGAATCCGGTGATGTTGTTTATCAAACCATTGGAGAGAAGTTGATTGAAAAAAATCAAAACATGGATCAACAACACACGGATACACGAGTCAATCTGAAGGAATTAATGGAGTATCAAAATATTTTGAAGACCCAGATTAACAAAGCTGAAAGGATCTTGAAAGGAGAATTAACAAAAGGCTTACTTGAAGTGATTCAACTCATGAAGAAGGAACGTGAAGCAGCTAAAAATATTCAAAACGAACGTCACTTGCGACAAATCAAAGCGATTTAAGATCAAGAAAGCCGAATCAACAAATTTGAAGTTGAGCTCACGGTTGTAACGAACAAGCTAGAAAATGTACAAGCTGTTTCCATTGAAACACACAATTGTGTTGGAACTGTGAAAGCGAACCAAGACCGAGATAGTAAAACACTTGCATTTTTGGTTGATAACGCCAAAAGGGGGAAGAAATTCTCAGTCACTTAGCTTTGCAACAACAAGAATTTATTCTTGGAAGCCAACAACAGCCAGTAATACCAACCCAAGGTCGAGGCCGAAGCCGCGGACAATCCTCACAATGACCATCTCAGATTGGTTTTGCTCAGTTCGCGAGTCCTAGTCTTGGTACGAGTACATCGAAAGTTGCTGAAACTCGTGGCAGGTTTGAATGCTCTAAAGGTCCCGCCACTCAGACAACAATATGGACTAAGGAAAATCTACCAAGCATGATCAAGAAATGGCCTGCAGCCGATCAAGCCCAATGGATCTCAGGCAAGAATAAAGAAGAAGAAGGAAAAAGGAAAAGAACCGAGATGTGGTATGAACTAAGAGATTTCACTGGAAATATGGGCATGAATCTTGGAGAAGAAAGAAGCTTCGAAGAATGTGTTTTATGGTGGGAAGCTGGAGTTCTTAAAGGCAACAACATTAAAGAAGCTTTTGGATATTACATGGCCGGGCAAGTTACAAAGAGATTTCAGAATGCGAAGTTCAAAGATGATTTCTTCAAGCTCAGAGAACATGTCAAGGAAATTTTGATGAAAGACATAGGTGTGAAGAAACCCAGAAGGTAATCTGAAAAATCTCTTAAGCTGATGTTTTCGCTATTTTCGAACCTCTGTTGCGTTTTTCGCTAAAATATTCGAAATATATCAATAATAATTTCCCATGGTCTATTTTGAGTTTAATATTTTATTTGTCTTTTGTAATTAGACCTTCGTGAATTAAAAAGACAAGAAATGTCAAAACGCACATAAAAATTTTAAAAAAAAAAATGAAGATCAAAAAAAAAAAAAAAATTCAAGATGCGTTTAGGAGCTTGTTAAAAAATTAATTCACAAGTTTCTTTTGATTGTGTCTAGAAAACCATTTGTTAAACTCATCTTGACTTTGTCAAATAAAATTGAGCAAAATGATTATTTTTCAAAGACTTAAAGCCAATGACTGAGTATAGGTTTTGGCATTATCAAAAGGGGGGAAATTGTTAGGAATAAAGTGTAATGGTTTTGATATGCCAAATATGTATTTGTAGAACCCCCAATTTTATTTTATAGGTCTAGTAGAGTCTAAGACCATGATCGGGAAATTATTTAAATTGCAAAAGAGAAAAACAGAGGAAGATGCATGAAAATAGAAGAAGAAGATATCAAGCCAAAAATCAAGAATTTGTCTGGAGAAAATGACAAATTAAAGAAGAAGTTGAATGATATAAAAATCACGTCAATGCTACTCAAAAAGATATCCCAGGAGAATTTTCGTTGAAGAAAATTGAGATTGAAAGATTGCATGAATTTGACTTGGAGATCAAGCATCTATGGAAAGAAAGGAGTAAATCAAAGATGATTGGAGATTTAACTAATATATCGTATTGACGAAGTGGAAGATGTCTGATATATTATGTGAAATGGCTCAAGTTTGAATCTCACCATTTACAATTTTACAAGGTAAAATTTGAGAAGCCAAAATTAATTAAGTCTGATGGAGTTGGGCGCTAGTTTGGCTTCACTTGGGTGGCAATTGAGAAGCAATTGCACTTGGAACCGAATTTCAGAGCAATTGAAATTTTTAAGACTTGAGAAGCAATTGAATTGAGATGAAATTCAATACCAGGAGAAGTCTGGCAGCCAATTTCGAAGTCAAAGTCAAAATGATTCAAATTGGAAGCAGTTGGGCGCTAGTTTGGCTTCACTTGGGTGGCAATTGAGAAGCAATTGCACTTGGAACCGAATTTCAGAGCAATTGAAATTTTTAAGACTTGAGAAGCAATTGAATTGAGATGAAATTCAATACCAGGAGAAGTCTGGCAGCCAATTTCGAAGTCAAAGTCAAAATGATTCAAATTGGAAGCAATTGAAGCACCAGGAATAGATTGGGTGCCAATTACAATGGAGAAATTCGAATTGGGTGCCAATTACAAGTCAATTGCAATTGGGTGTCAATTACAAAGGAGAAATTCAAATTGGGAGGAAGTTCAAAGCCAGTTTGAAGTCTGAGAACACCCAGACGTGAGAATGAAGAAGATGAAGGAAAACTTACAGTGAAGAATTTCTCACAAGGAAAAATACTAGTCTAACTTGTATGGGATTAAATTGAAGAATATTTTTGAAGTATTTAAATCCCAAGAACCACTTTAGAGCTGATCAGAGAAGTCATTCTACACAAAACTGAAACCCAGATATTCCCAAGAAACGTGAGAAAACCAGAGGAATATCAGATGAAGTTTGGGAACTCATTTGCATAAAGTTGAAGCTCTACCAACGGCTAGCTTATCTCTTCTGACACTTTGCAAGAAGATAAGATAAGATCTCTGACAAAAGATACAAGAATTCAAAAATGAGATCGTCTCTTTCCAACGAGCAGATTCTCATTACCAGCTATAAAATGATTAAGATATGAAGACTTGAAGATGGGGAACCAACGAGCAAAAGAGCAATAATACAAAGAGCAAAAATCTCATTTGGTACAGAGCATATCAAAAGAAATCTTCAAGTGAGAAGTGAGAAAAGAGAAAGAACTCTGAGAGCTTAAAAGAGAAATATTCCGAGAGTTCTAAAACAGGGCTAAACAGAGCATAAAAATCAAGTGCTTTACTTGATACATTCAAAGAGAGAAAAACACTCAGAGCGTTCAAGAGAAATCTTTCCAAGAGTGTTTCATCTTCATCAAAGAGACTAAGCGCATCATTGAAGATCAACTACAGAGTCTCGAAGTTGGAAGCAAGACAAAACTTGTTTTGGAGCAAAACAAGAAAAGGGAGGAAAGTAGCACGGAGCTGTGAAATCCTGGATTGTCACACGGAGCTGTGAGATCTGAAGCAGCAGTGTCGGAGGCACTGGGCGTGATTAGTGCGGGCTTTGTGATCAAAGCACTAGATCATGGAATACGTTTCTACCGGAGTGTGGAAGACGGGGGGAAAGTAACGCGGAGTCGTGAAATCCTGGGATAGTAGCGCGGCGACGTGAAACCCAAAGCAGCAGTGTGGTGTCACTGGGCGTGATTAGTGCGGGCTTGGTGATCAAAGCACTAGATCACGGAAATTCATTGTATCTTGGAACCAAGAAGTGGTGGATATAGTGAATTGCTCTTGGAGATAAGAGCAAGTGGAGTAGGAGGATTACACCACCTCCGAACCACTATAATTGTCTTGTGTTCTTTACTGCTCTCTTTACTTACTGCTCTTTACTTGCTTCACACGAGATATACTCACACAATCTCACACACACTTTATCTTTATTTAATTCCCCTGTGCACCATACTCTAACAATCTAGTTAAGAGTTTTGGTTTATCTCTGGCTTAGCAATTGTTGTGCTGTGCGAAGAAGTCTGAAAGTCTATTCACCCCCCCCCCCCCCAAAACATGCTATATAAAAAAAAAAGACTTAACACATGCAGATATCACAACAAAACAATAGCACAGCGGAAGATAAAAGGTAACTGGATAAACGAAAATCCAAAACATGGGGTGTCACGCCACGTTTACCAACAACGATAAACGCTACGGCAAAGTCTGCATGGTTCACAACTATCCCAAAACCTCACGAGTCTATCACTACATCGGCTCACAGGCCATAAAGCAATGGAAAGGTACTATACTATCGGGCATTAGACTCCGCTCTCGTCTAGACATCATGTAACACCCCGTGTTACGATACCTAAAACCAATTAATCATTTAACCAATTATCCAAAAGAAAGAATTAAATCACAATAATTAATTAGGAAAGGCCCACCATAGTCCATGGGCCCTTATCCCTAAACCCAATCCTTAGTCCCAAAAGGAATAGAATTAGCAAGCCTATAATATTAGTTCCTAACTAGGACTCCTAAATATATAAA